CCTACACACTGATTTCAGTGCCTCAGCCCTATAGAGGCTCCTAATGTTCCAAGTACCAAATCTCATGTCCTTTTTCAATTGCCGTGGTCGTGCCAAAGAGTCCGTCCTGATCCGAGGCTTGGTTGATTTTTTCGTAACACATCTTTTTTTTACAGGTGAAAGGTTGTTAGCCCTACACCCAACACCCAACCTGGAGGACCAGGGTATCACTCTTAGTCTAGCGCATCTCCTTAGACCTGTTCGGCTTGGGTGACCCTACCATGAGCCGAAGCTCAGGCCGACATAGCCCTAAGGGTCATTTGAGCACGCAAGCCTCCTCAAACTAGCTAACAATTTAATGAAATTCTGTATTTTTTATGTCATAACTATCAGAAGACTGATAACATTATCACTCGTGTTGTCACTTATCAGAGATCACAGAAACTATTTGTGCTGTAAATTATCAGCAATCTGGCTACTCAGCACATCAGGTAAACACAGTATATTGTCACCAAACCTGAGGAGTCATATAAATTCATTATGTAATTCCCCTCCATCCTGTAACTCTGAAATATACCTTTGCAAACTCTCCCTCACTGACACCATCTCTATAAAATATTATCCTCTTTGGCAAATAACGTGTGAAATCACGGAAGTACAACAGCTGTTCCTTAATAATATCTTGCAAGTCTTGAATGATCTCAACTTTAGGAGGCTGCAGTCGAATCTGAATGTTGTATTTGAATAATGCTTTTGGATCATGACTGCATAAGGTACAGAAAAGTTGATTAGATTAAAACAGGAAAATTTCTACAGATATCAAAGCAAGACCCCAGATGATCTAACAAAGTACATCATCTACTGCACACTTCTTTTTTGCTTTATTTAACAATGCATCATCAACTTAAAAAGAAAAGTTTGGGTCTGAAATGAAGTTTCATCTCATAACCAAGGTTAAGTTTATATCCTGGCTAGTTTGGCCTAACTCTTCAGGAATCATGAAAGGAGCAATGGTGCAATGACCATCAGCAAGAGAAAAATCAAGAACTTGGAGGAAAGCCTATCATAGTGACCTTTTGGTATCAATTTCAATTCTATAGTGAATGAAGATACTGCAAAACCATTTATCAATATTTGTTTTTAAATCTTCTTGTAATTTACAAATTTTACCATGCCAACATATTCCCTGTATAGTGTACACATACAAAACATCCATAAAGTTCTATGCAGTGCATTATCATCACAATGAGTCTACATGTGCAGCATGGCTGAACATCAGTTTCATTTCTAATCCACTACACTTGAATATCGAGTGTGTCACACGAGACAAGACAGCACCCATTCTGTGCAACATCAAGGAATACTTATGATCATTTTTAAATATCATAGCCTTCAAGTTCAAGTTTGCACCAACAACAAGCATAAGAAAATAATCTCTGAACTTCAAACTTGTTGATCTTGTAACTTTATTTTGGATAATATACACAAATAAACATCAACATGAACACAGGAAAATAACATCACTGCAAATTAAGTGGCCAAGTAACTATTTAAATGCCAACACAAGGTGTTAAAAGATGAAATGTATAATGATAAACAGATAAATGTATATTATATTCCAATATTTTAAAATACATTGAAGCAGCATTTGATATATTTCTGTCTGGCTGATTTCTGTCCTGGTTCTTTAAGAAGTTCACTAACTCTGTTTCCAAGAAGATACTCATATTTCTGCTGAACTAAGTGTTGCATATAAGAATCTTTGTAGAAGGAAAGGGAATTTTATGCTTGTCCGCTTGCTTACATTTCTTTTGCAGTGACTTCCCTAACAACTTATAAATTGTATCCACAAAAATGAGCCAGAGTTTTACTGTTCTGATATTCACAGGAAAAACTCTTTATTTTTGATGACCAATCAAAAGGTTAATGCCCATATAAATCTGATAAATTCAATTCAAGAAAAAAATACAGACTGTGTATGCACATACTTACAGCAACAACAGAGGGTATATCTGTTTGATCAGGTGAAGGATGAGTCACATCAGCTCCAACTATCATTACAGGAGATTCAAAGAATGACGGCCTGAGAACAAAGGAACACTGTTTCACTCTTGTTATCCAAAACCTTTTGCAGTGACTTCCCTAACAACTTATAAATTGTATCCACAAAAATGAGCCAGAGTTTTACTGTTCTGATATTCACAGGAAAAACTCTTTATTTTTGATGACCAATCAAAAGGTTAATGCCCATATAAATCTGATAAATTCAATTCAAGAAAAAAATACAGACTGTGTATGCACATACTTACAGCAACAACAGAGGGTATATCTGTTTGATCAGGTGAAGGATGAGTCACATCAGCTCCAACTATCATTACAGGAGATTCAAAGAATGACGGCCTGAGAACAAAGGAACACTGTTTCACTCTTGTTATCCAAAACAAAAAATTGACAGTGGAACTACGGTTCCGGATAATCTGACGTAAATACGTCTATACCGAAAGGAAGTTTATATATTGGCTTTATTCTAAATATTTCCTTTATACATGCTTTACAATTGAGTAAAGTTTGATTAAGACATTGCTTATTTAACTTGAATTAGTTACGCTTAAGATGGGTCTGTGGTAGGTGAATGTAATGCAAAGTAATGTAATCAGACTGTTCATCCAGAATAAATAATGAATTAAGGTTATCAAATTGGAAAGCCTATGCTGAAATCTTGTATTCAAAAACTTCAATGTGCTACCTGTGAAAGAAGACCTGTGTCATGTATTAAGACACAGCTCTTCATCCACAATAATGCTAGGCCACACACTTCTAACAGTGAAAATTATTGTTAAAGTGTTACCCTACACTTCATGTGGCACTACATGATACTCATTTGTTTCCAAAGCTTTCAAGGGTATGACATGTATTTGGATAATGATTTTCACATATAACAGCAGCACTTCAGAATGTAATAAGTGAGGCTATAAACAGGTACTTACCACTTATATGAACTTATATGAAGCACTTGAAGGGCAAGTGATGGCACTGAAAGAGGGTACTCAAAGGGCAATAAAGTGGCACTGGGAAGCAGTAATGACTAACAAAGAGATGAGAGGTATTGTGCACAAATTAAATGAACAACCCAGGGTCTGATGCACACCTCAGAGATGGCAATAGAACAGATGAGCATTGACAAAATAATTAGTGGCAGAACAAAGACAAAGTACTGAGTGCAAAATTTGTAATACTACCACTCTGTCCACAACACACATATGGACTGTCTTTGGATTGAAACTGGGCTTTCATGTTAAAAAGGACTTCTGTTCACAAGGTAGAAATCGTTTCAAAATTTAATTAAAAACAACTATTTATGCCCAAAAATATTACTGCATCTCTCTAGAGAAGAAATACAAGAGCTCATGTCCCAGTTTCCTTAAAAAATGTTACACATATTTGCAGCATAGTAATTGGCTCATTTTATATTCAGAAGGTTCCAGTTTCTGAATATGGCCTAGAGAGGTATTCCTCACTGAGGTATTTCTTAATTGTCCTCTATCCTTATAGCATAAAACAACAATTTTACCTTAAAAAATAGACTACAGAACACTTCCACATCCTTTTCCAACCCACAATTATCCCACCACTTGACACTACATAATCTATGCAGTTGGAAAAGTTTCAAAAAGTGAAAGTTGACTCAAGTATTTAACTGGAACTTGGAAATAAACAGTACAATATCTTTTCCTGTGGTAAATACACTGTAATTTCAAAACATTAGTCAGAATGTAGTTAATGTTCAGTTTGAGATACTTTACTTCAGTCAGAAAGGAAAACAAACTGGAAGTTTATGAGCAAGTAAAACAGATAAACAAACAGACAGGAAGAACTAAATCTTATGGTTATAGTTATGGATCTCTAAATTTTAAATATTATGTAAATAGGTAATATTATGCTAAAAGTTACTTCATAAATGAGATTTACCTTGACACAGATGAAAGTGTGTGATTCACTCCATTCAGTTTTGAATTGACTTTCAGAAGAATATTGGAACATGTAGCTGGATTCATACGTTGCATTGTTCTTGACTTTATACATTGAGTTAACACTCCAACATCTAGTTCTGCAATTTGCTTAACCTTGGCTACAACACAGTTGAAAACAAATGTTAATTCTTACAAAAAAACAAGAAGACCACAAAAATCTTTTTTTTGAATATAAAATTTGGCAAGTCTTCTGCAATGTCAGTAAACTTTTACCAGACTATACAGCACAACATCCCATACAACAGTAATCTTTATGTTCATATGTCAACAATTCCAAACTTTGAGGTTATATCAGACAAAATTAAAATATAAAATGAGCAAACAATTATTAACACTATAAAAAGACACTATTGCCACACGCGTTTCAACCTCAAGAGGTCATCATCAGCGGCATCAAGGAAATTAATGAACAAATGAATTAATATCCTTGATGCCATTGATGATGACCTCTTGAGGTTGAAACGCGTGTGGCAATAGTGTCTTTTTATAGTGTTAATAATTGTTTGTTTGCTCATTTTATATTCTAATACACTACACAGTATGCAAAGTTTTAAGACAAAATTAACATATTCAACATGTGTATCAGCCAAAATTATATATATACATGGAACACTAAAGTGTATAATTATTAATTTAGTTCCTGCTAGCCTCACCATACAGATCAAAACATTTGAACAGACAAAAGTTAATCAAAGAATCTCTTATTTAAACAAGGGTGGAAGAGTACTTTATTCATATAATAGACCTCTTACCATAACTGTTTTTCACATCTGGAATCACAACAACAATCAGATCAACTCTCTTATGTTTCATTGAAGTGAAGAATGTCTGCAATTCAGATGTATCCTGTGCTGGAAATTGCAAAATTTTTGATGTTAATGGAGGTGGAATATTCATCCCATACTTCTTCCCTGTTTTCTGCATTTCTTCTCCAAAACACCTGTAAATTTTAATTTGAAACATACAAAACCATTAATGACATTGAAAGAATGGGATAAATGACTGTAGACTGAGTGGTAGTATTACATAAACAGAAGACAATAACTAGTTTTCCAACTGAACAGTCACTTTTTAATGATAATTAGTAATCATTCTATTCTTATCACAGTGTATTTCAAATCATCTGATTTAACTTCATCTGTGCTGTTTTAGTCTCTGGAAAGATTTTCATGAAATAAAATGAAGGGCACGCCATTAAAGGAGACCCCCACCTACTTTTTAATTTCCTACCGTCAGTAACACTGCCGTGGCGCAACAACTTCTGAGGCTGGGGTAACAGAAGCACCACATATGCAGGCACTTCAAGTATTGTGTGCCATTTAATGTTTAAAAAGTATTACTTCTATTAAGGCATGTTTCTTTAATGTTCAACAATAACAGGTAAGTTTTGCAATATATATATTTGTTTTGATGCCTATCAGTTTATTAACTATTGGAGATGGGCATGAGGATTTTTTACTCATTTGTCATTTATTTAATGATGCTTTGTGCTGTGAGGAGTTCCGATTAGAAAACAGATAAATATTTTATTCAATTATTTTCTTTATAAAATTAGTTGATTTGACATTGTTATTATCCACTCACTTAAAAGTACATAAATATTACATGGTAACTATTTTTTCATCATGCAGGGTGATACAATAGTACCAAAAATGAATGTGTGCCATACAATATATATCAGCAGGCTGCAAGCTGTGAACTATATGATTTTATTCTAATTTGCATTCAACCTATTTAGAGCAAGGGGTGGTGACTTGCTCTGGAATGAGATAAAACTTATATTAGACCAACACCGATATTTTTATGTCCCATTGTTTGCAATGGGCTGCTCTCCCAATTTTTAATTTACAGTAATGCTAGCTTCATCATACAGAACAAGAATTTGATGGAAATCAGGCTTCATAAATTCTTCCAAAAACTTCTTATTAAACAGGCTTCTACCTAATACATGTAAGTTCTGTAATAAAATAAAATGTGTGAATTATAAGTTGACAGTGAGTCAGATGACTCTTAAAGTATTGCATTAAGACAAAATTTAAAAAATCATTAGATGAAAAGTATTGTTTTGTCTATAAACTATTATCATCATACTCATTTACTGATATTTCAGCAGTACTTGCAGTCTTACAACAAAGCTTTCTCACCTCAATCTTATGTATCACATTTTATTTCATAATTCTCTGCTAAATTCAAAGCAATAAAGTTGCCACCACATTTGGTTAATACTCACCGGAGTGCATCTTCACTTACAACATAACTGTCTAAGTTGAGAATTATCCAAGATTTCAAATTTCCAATGCTAACAAAATTTGATGCTCTCCACACACCACTACTTGGTATTGTAGGAAATCTCTGATTCTGAAAATAGCAATATTTCTTTAAGTCACATTTATGTAATTTGTGTTAAAAAAATGGGGGGAAAACTGAACTGGAAAGGATGTGAAAGGACATAGTCATGGCATAATATAAGGCACTATACCTGTATCTGCCTGGAGGGACTAAGGAAAACCACAAAAAACCCAGTCAGGATAGCCAGTCCCCAGGCCAAGATTTTAACATGGGGCCTCCCAAATAAAAAATAGGATTGTTAACCACTTGACCATGATTTTCAGTTTAAACACTGTCAATGTATGTTTTTAAATATGTAACGTATCTCATCTACGTGTTTAAAAATGAAAACTTGTAATGCTGGATCCAACAAAACATTGTTAGCCTGTATATTTTTAATATTTTATTACAACTTACTCATAGCAAATTACTCTACAATAATAATCAGAATTATATAGTGACCTTCTGTTTCACATATTTTATATATTGTAAAATAGAAGCCTGAAGATGGTCTATTATACTGAAACATGTTATTCAAAAACATACATCTGTGTTAAAAACTGAATTATTGTTGTATGTGATGAAAGACTACAAGTTATATTACATATATTTCTGTAATGAACCCCCAAAATAAAATGCTTGAATATAATATGGCCTTGAAATATGAACCATGTTTACAAGGAGACCCACTATATGAAGTTTCAATTAATTTACTCACTTTATACTCCAACTGCGGAGCATCCAGGATCCGAGCGCTTACTTCTTCAAACTTTTCTCCAACAGAGAGACCAAATTCTCTGACACATGGGTCGTCATTGAATCTCACTCGGCTCAGCTGAAATAAAACCAAAACACACTAAAATATGTAGTAAATGCTGCATAGCTTGAACAATAACAAATTATGCAAAATTTTGAGGATGTCAAAGATACAAACATTACGTAAGTACGTTCTCAATCGAAGCAACCCACAATATTTTTGTATATAAAATACAACAACCACATATTACACTTCATTCGATATGTGTGTGAAACCAACAAAGTTAAGTAGCATTTGAGGCTTTCATGGCGGTGAGTCTGAAGATGGCTGCCTTCTGGGTTGTTGCACCATGTAGTCTGGTAGAAGTTTACTGACATTTCAGAGGTCCTTGCTTCTTCCATCATCCAGACTAAACAGTGCAACAACCCAGAAGACAGCCATCTTCCAATATAAAGTTGTTGAAATACTAATACTGTACTTCATCACATAATTCACATTCTCATTTTTATGTTAAAGCAACACCAAAATTGAAAAGTAATACTCTTTGGAATGCACAAAGGTTCCAAAAGTGTACTTTATACCACACACTGCTTAATATTATCTCCTTAATCATATATAGGAATAATATCTGATCCTTCCATTTGCTATCACTATTCTTTCCACACACACACACACACACATTTGTACTCTTAATCTGCAAAAGTGATACAGTTACAGATTACTCCACAGAAATGCAATACTTAATTTTTAGAGAGCTCACTAATTCACTTCCATCCACAGAACATACTTTCTTCTGATGTTACTATAACAACAAAGTAACTTAATACATTATGCTGGGTTGTCAAGCCACTGACAGTTTGCAGCATAAATAATTCATATTACTGATAATAGTATAGACAATTATGTCATCAGTGCTGCTATGGACATCATAACAAATAATTCATGTGACCACTGATAGGTGGCAGCATGAAGAGTTTGTATGATCACTAATCACATAAATGCCATTATGCCATCGTGGGTTAAGAGCAACTTGAGACAGGACCATCCTCCCACCTTGTGACTTCAAACATTCATCACATTCGTATTAATCATTACAAGAACTTGAGAATATGGCCTCTAATCATATTTAACTCCATGACAAATTATGATCAGCCCTTCTCAACTTATATGGCAGAACATAAAAGTTCATACAATAAGAGATACATGGAACCATGATCTTTGCTGAAAAACATGCCAGAGAGATGCCAACAAATTAAATTTCAAGGACAAGCTTGGGTTTGGGTTAGATCATGGACTGAAGCTTGGTGAGAAAACCCAAGGGTATCCTCAGGGGGTATACACCCCACAGGTTCTCCACGCCTTTCCAGCTGATTAGATGTGTGAGCACACATAATGTCCAGATCTGGGGTACCAAAAAGCCACACACTATTTATCCAGAACGAAGGTTTATGGTCAGATCTTTTTTTGCAGAAAGCACAATTACAGGCATCACGTATCTCAACATATTGCAATAGTGGTTAATGCCACAGCTGTCAGAAGATTTTCCACAACAGAATTCCTGGTTCCAGCAGGATGGTGCACTGCAACTCTGGCATTTTGAAGTCGGTGACTACCTTTATGAAAACCTGCCTTGCACGTGGCCTCCCAGAACCCCTGACCTGACCCTAATGGGGTTATGCAAAAGATGCAGTTTACTAACCTCCTCTACCACACATAATTCAGGAATTAAGTACACATATCCAGGCTGCAGTGGAAGTTGTGACACCTTGGACAAAGTGATGCAAGAACTTAAATAATGCCTTTATGTTTGCCATGTGGTAAATGGCTCCCATATTATAAATCTCTACCTTGATGCAAACTAGAAGGGTGCCTTTTTCATCTGTAAGTTGTTTCATTGTACTGTCACTTGTAGTATTTGTTCAATAAATTTATGAAATGGTATCCAACATTTTGAATAGTCCAATATAGGTAAGAAAGTACTGGCACAATGAATGTGCTTTGGGCTGCTCATTAAACAACACTTTCTTAACTGCACAGTTTATATAGTGCATATAGTGCTGAATGAGAAGATAAAGAATTTTGAATTGTGAAGGATGTGGAAGGAACTAGTCATGGCCTTGTCTTAAAACACTATCCCAGCACTTATGTGGAGAAGTTGAAGAGAATTACTAAAATCTCAAGCCACGATAGCTAGGCCTTGGCCAAGAACCTCCCAAATATTCAGCAGAAGTACTATCACTCAAGTGCGACGTATGATGCGTGTGTTTCATTTTATGAACATGATAACTAAATGTGTGTTCAAGTCATGTACAAAGCAAAAATTCAGAATGCAAGACATACTGGAGGTAATTTAAAAAAAATAAAGAAAACAATTTCAACTACAGTAAGAAAGACAACCAAGATAACATACCATTTCCATTATTTTTCTTTTTCTCATATCAGTGCTTGTTGCAGTATGCTTTATCATTGCAGAAGTCTGTTTCTCACTCATTTTCTTATTAATCACTTGATGTTTTGAGATTGAACACAACTGTAAAAAAGAACTGCATCGTATGATCACAGCAGATTCATAAAATCATGAAATTTATCAATACATGTTCATATAAATCACAGGTTTCAAGCAAAGTGAAATTCAGTAATATGCCCAAAATGTAAATCTTAAACACATACTGCTTTCCAAGAGTATCCCAAATAAAATTCTGCTTGTATTTTTTGCTTTCCCATCTGATCTACTTTCTCAGTCCCCTGTAACCAGTGCTTTCTTTGTGGCAGCATGCACCAGTAAGGAATACCAGCAATTTTGCTTTAAAATATAAAAAAAGATTGTCAAAACATGTTAAAATTGTCAGACATGCCATAAAAGCACTGCCAATTCTTTCTAGAAATATGTCCTGGTTTTAACTAACCTAACAATACAGAAACTGTATAAATCATTATATAACTCAGTTCAGAAACCACTAAATATATTTTTCTTACAACTGATACTCTTAGAACTCTGTTTTTAAATATTTGAAATTAAGCACTGTAAATATGAGTAAAAAAACACAAACACATGCAAAATAAGTAAATTAATGCTTTATAATCTAAACCTTCCAGTGTTTTGAAAAACAGACTGGGAGACCAAGCATGAAGACAGGATAAGTGACGGAAGACATACAGATACAAGAGGAGAGTGAAGAATGGAGAAGGCTTTATTATAAGACAGTTCACACCAATGAGAGGAAATCCAAGGATGAATCAAATACAATAAATTGAAAAGTAAAATTTACAATCTCTATGGAAAGGAAAATTCCTTTTTACTACATAAAATGACACTAATGTCAGCTGTATTAAGAAACAATGCAAATACAGTCAGGGAGTAATCAGTCCCACTCTGTTTTATAGGGGCTGATTTACAGTGCATAAAGAACCATCTATCAATTCAAAATAAGGTTTCTTACAGTGTAAGACTGTAATCTTGAGACTTGCGGGGGTGAAGAAGTGGGGTGGAGGAGGAAAGATAGCATCAGCCTTTAACGCTTCGGACTTCCTGCATTCCTTGCAAGTCTCAAGATTACAGTCGAGTACTATACCTCTGGTGGAAGATATATTGGATTTTTTCTGTTAAGCGAACCAACATGAAGGCACGGAAGATGTGGATATCTCAGTTTTATACACTTGACACGGGCAAAATATTCTTGAACTGATATCCTTTGACCATCATCCAACTGAAATCTTTATAATAAAAAAACATTACATGTAAAGCAAAATATTCCTGTAACATCATAAAATATACTCATAATGCAATCCCAGGGAAACTGAATTTTTTCCATTTTAAACAATTTTCTGTTTAAAACAGATACCTATTTCCAGACGAAAAAAATTAAAAAAATTCTAAGAGATTTCACCAGATGGTAGAAATTATCATGGCAAACTTGTAGCTAACATATTCCTCATTTCATATAACTGCACATGTGAAGTCAGAAACATACCTATACATTCACAGCTATCTACTGATGAAAAGCATGTGAACAAAAATATATGATTGTAGCTCACAAAAGATTGAACATACCGTAATTTTGCTGGACATTCAGCAATTGTGTTTACCCTGAATGTTCGCTTGCTGGTTGGATTGTTAGGGATCATGTAATCAACCTTTAAGTCTGAAACAAAAAAAATTCAAGAACAACAACCTATATACTTTTAGACTGTTACATATAAAACAAAAATAAACTACCCACCACACACAGTGAAGGCACTTGACAGGACAGGACATAAAGATGGCATTTGTTCTTGACCTCTGCATTACATGGGGATGATTTGTTCAGCTGCATGCCCTGGCCAAGCTTTACCCCTGCAGAAAGGACCATCTAGTACCCATGGGAAAGAATTCTGGGTGGGCTGGTCTGGATGCAGGAACTTGAAGAAAAATCCTCTGCCTCTGCTGGGAATCTAACACTAGTCATCCAGTCCATAGTCAGACTGAGCTAACCTGGCTATATTAATTTCTAAAATAAGTTTGTTTTAATAGAAGCCTCTGACTGCAGGTTTATTAAGCTTTTAGAAATGCTATTTAAACTAGAATTCAAAACCTTCATGCAAAAAGGAGATAACTCCTATGTACCAAATCATGTTGCTGTTTAGTAGGACTTAAGATTTTCAAGGTGATGAGCATGAAGATTACTGTCTTCTGGGTTATAGTGCCATGCAGTCTGGCAGAAGTTCACAGAAAACAGCCATCTTCATGTTGTTGGTTATCTATATTATTCAAATAGCTAAACCAACAGTCAGATGTTAGAGTGTAAGGACACAAATCTGTATGTACGTTAACAAAAAGATAAATAAATTAACAATAGGCCTACAAACAATGCTGAATATTTAAAATACCTTTGACCCTCCTCAGAAAAGTATATAATGTCACTTTTCCTCTTTTCACCAAATTCTTCAATTGTACTTGTATGCCCACAATTTAAACGAACAGCATATGGTTAGCACAGCCCTGTAGTTCAAACACCTTACTTGAAAAGGCCACATTTGAAAACCTTATGAAGTGAATTTTAAAGGGAAATGGTGGTTCCTGATCAACAGTTTTTTCAACCATATTATTTTCTTCATAACTTTAAGCCTTTGAAGTCCAGTGTTAATTACATGTTCCACCTTTCTTAACAAACAATAACTCTTATAATTTGCATTTATAGGTTTCATGATTCTCAGAATAAACAGCAATTATTTCCTTAAACAGCATTATCCAACTGATCTCTGTAATGCTTTTGTTGTGAATAGCAATGCTGACAATAAATGTTTTGTAGTTTCCTAGCAACTTGTATTAATTGTGTTCATAACTGTTTGTTCTTTGGAGAACATTATTTTAAATGTGAAAATTCAATGTTAATTTAAAAATGTGTTTTGTAAAATGAACGTTTTAGTTGCTTTTAACAGCTCATATATGAACACAGTTCTCTTGAAAGTTTAAATTACATTTCCAAAGAAAAATATATCTCTTAACTACGGGTCTTCCTTTTCAAACAAAATGGCTTGGCAGTCTTATGGCATAGTTCCATGTACTGGCTTGGTACTAAAAGGGATAATGCAGTGTTTCAGTAACTATTCTCACCCTTACCACGGATATAGCTCTCGAAATCCTCCTTCTGATCTTTGTTCAACTCACAGTCATCTTGAGGTCTGCAGATTTAATAAATGGCTTCCACAACTCTTTGTGGTAATGGAAAACCTTTATGTGTCACTGTCAAACATAATTATCATAATTAAATCAGAAATAAACGTAACAAATAAACTTAGTGCTGCAGTATGATTACTTCAATATTCATACTCTTCCACTGATTTTACAGTTCCACTGAAGGGTTCTACACAACAGATAGCCATTTTTTTAAAAATGTACATGACTATAAATTATTTTATTTTACACAACTCTGAAAACTTTATCAATCTTCTCAAAATGAGCAACACATACAAAAACATTTACAAGTAATACATATATCCCATACACATCTACAACTTTTATTTCAAATCTTTTTTCAATATGATATAATTTTAATTAAATACAAGGAAAAATAATTTACAACTTTATGCAGGAAACCTGTAATGTCATAAGTTTTCAGCAATAAATCTGTATAAGCAATAAATCTGTATAAGCAATAAACAAACATAAATGCCAATTATGGATGCAAAATCACATAATTGGAAAATGCATAAAATATACTCTACTGTATATCTTCTGCTGTTGGTTATATAAAAATTCAATATTATTTATAGGACTTAAAAAATCGTGCCAAGTTCTAACTTCAGAGCTAAAAACTGGACCACCAACCCAAAGCTTTTGATAAAAAATGGCTTATTTGTCACCAATTATGTGCTTAACCCCTTTGGTTCCAAACTATTTTAAAGCAGTTGTACAAACTAATGATAATGAGAATGATTTGAGGTGTTCACAGTGGTGAGTATGAAGATTTCTGTCTTCTGGATAATGAATTTCAGCATTGGAAACAATTTTATGGCCTGGATTATTGCAAAAAGAAATGATAGGCCTTTTTCACAATTAACTTTTATAAAATAAAATGTTATTCACAAGAACAAACAAAAATGAAAAAGGGAACAAATACCAAGAATTGATAACAATGGAAAAATATTGTTTGTTTTTCGTAAAAAGCTCATATATATTCTATGTTTTCAATGCCTGATGTATTTTGTTTCCCAGAGAATGTTCAGCAGCCTGTAGTACACATGGCCCATTAATAAAAACCATTACCATAAATCTTGACACACCAGCTCAGAAAATCACCTCATCTTAGGCAAACAGAAAAGTGTCTTTTTCAGTACCTGGTTATGTATTTTGGTGCACATGTGATTGTGTTTAGAGTTGAAATTTAACTTGCAAATATACATTCTAACAATATCTGCAATAAATTTTTCAGGGGTTTGAGGAATGATGTCCAACTAAATAAGGTACCTAAAAATATATAGGGCAATGCTAACACTAAAGTGATGGAAAACCTTTATGTGTCACATCAATGTTCACAAATGGCTTCCAGCCCAAAGTAGCACTTTGGAACACTCCATACCACATTTCTAGTCCATCACCGAGTTTCAAAATTCTACCTCTTGGAGGAGTATAGAATGAGCGTCCAACTTGCACACACCTAACAAAATATACATTAATACCATTACCTTATTAAGCACAGACAAACAGTTTCAAATTAAATTCTTCATGCACCTCAACAAAACAGCAACATCAAATATAATCATCACTAAAGTGAACTTCAGGGCTGAAGTTCCAACAGGTATGAGACTGATAATGTCCTGCACAGTCACACACTGCACTGACAGTATGGAACACTGTTTAATCAATAACTGACAGGATACAACAAAAGAACTCAGAAAAAACCCACTCCAGTAACACTTTATCCACCATAAATCCCATGCAGACCAAGCCTCCATAACGAAAAGACAGCATCCAAATGTCAAAGAAAAACACAGAATTATCTTCTTGTTAAATGCCTCATGAACTGCATATATTATACAGTATTCAGTGAAAGAATTAATGAAATTTGGAAGTAGTAGTTCTGACATATGTTAATGCATTATATCAGAATTTTGGTGGAAAAACTCAGGAAAACCACAAATAACTTAGCCAGAAACCAGGCTAAAGATTCATTATGAACTCACTTCAAACTGTAATGGATTTGATTTATTTCTCATGCTTCTGCACTTCATGTCTACTGCACACTTTACAGAATTATACTGTGATCACATCATGAATTCTAGATGATTTATAGGAAGCAGTAAGGCCCTATTTTTAAGTACCTTGTTGGGAAAATGAAAGAAAAATATTAATGACATGCCAATAATGAGCTCATTTCTGGTACTTCATACAATTCTTGTTTCTAGTTTGACATCTGAAAAAGCAGAGCTAAATTTTAGAACATTAATTTATTTACTGTACAGTGTTTTAAGCCTTACACTTTTGTGCTAAAACTAAAATCAAACAAAATTATACTCCAAGATAATACTGACATATAGCTGAAGCAAGGAACAAATAAACAGAGAAATTAGCAGTTTCCAAATACACTTTAAAAAGGGAAAATCCTTTCAGAATTCTAATAATTTATAGTCATATAAGATTTGGAGAGATAAAACACAGTTTATAACTGGTCTAGCCAATGAGTCTGCCATGGACCCCTGAGTTCAAGCCCAGGGGGGAAGCACACACAACTAAGCTATAAAACGCAGGTATCTATATGCACTCTGTACACCATATACCTGCTACTCCTTTGAAACACCTAAGTACTGAGCAGTTACTTTCCAGGAATCCTTCAGTAAAAAGAGGGTAGGGAAGTGGCAACTGGTAGAAACAGTCCCAAACACTTGGGAATAACGAGTTGCAAAGTGGTCTAGTTGGCAGAAAGCTGAGAACTTAGAGTGGATTCATCCTCTTTGTAAAGCTGGCTGTGCTCTTTCTGATAAACATTGTGTTGTACGTATGAGAATCATCTTGATCAACATTAATAAACCATATACCATATAGTATATACCAGTGTTAAGAACTGTGGCAAAACTTGACACTCCTGCAACCTCATCACTTCACAGCAATTGTCTACAATCCAGCTGGTGATCACCTTTATTCCCCATGTTAACCCTGACAGGAAAAGAGATCTCACCAATAACCTCTTTTCACCTGCAGAAACCCAAACATACCTACCAATGACCCATCTGACCCTGCACAAACAGCACTATTGTAAGTTAAAAATTGACAACTGTCTTCCAACGCTGATTCACAAAAAATGTACTGATCACAGTAAAAAATACTTTGAACAAAATCAATTGGAATTTTATATCACAGACTATTATTTAAAAATGCCATAAAATTTTGGAATGAAAAAGTCCAGTTTTATCATCCAGCAGATTAACCCTTAAACCAAAAAATCTCTCTACCAATAATAACTAAATACATGCAGAGTTTTTATAACACTCATATCCATTTTAACCAACATTCATAATTATTTTGCAAGTTTTAAAATTAACCAACAATTATCATGTCACAATTCTCCTCAAGATCATGATTAAATATCAGCCAGGTTTTCTGGCTACCATGATTCAGTGCTTTCTAGGTCTTCCTTGGTCCCTGCAGGCAATACCAGTGAATATCTTGAAGTAGACATCACCATCTCTTTTTTGAGTGTTTACATACTCTCAATTCATTATCTACACACTTCATTTGACACTAAACAATCTCTGTAACTGAAACAGTATTGATGAATAACTTACAGACCAATCAGATGTTTCTGATACACCAAGAGTCACAACGTAGCTAATTAACTACTTACCCACACAAAGATGGTGCATTGCGCAGCACAACATCTACAGCCTGAATAGCTTTCTGTGGGATTTCCAGTGTACTGTCACTACTCATATATGTAGAGAGGGATCCCAAATTAACTTGAGATGTATATGTAATAGTAATCTCACACTGCTTAACCCCACCATATTCTTCATCTTGCACCATGACACTATCAGTTTTCTGGAGGGAAAAAAAAAACAACAAGAACACTTTAGTACTTTGCTACAGAGTATCACAGTACCTCTTTCAATAGTTGTATGTACCATAATGCTCAGAACTGAAGACTTACAAATATTACAACAAATACACAGGGAAACAAAGTTAGTGCTACAAAGGGAAACTAACTTTTTAAATTAACTCTGATATGGCAAAACTTGAGACTTTCACAATGATAATTATGAAGATGGCTGTCATCTGGGATGTTGCACTGTGTAGTCTGGTAGAACATGATCAATGTTTCAAAGAAGCATACTGCCTCCATCATAAGGTTTATGTCTTTACATCCACATCAACATTACCAGCAGCAACAGCTTACACTTGTTAAATTAAACCAAACATACCTCTGGCAGCTCTCGAGTACTGTACAAGTTTTTCCTCCCATCAAAAGCTGGATATCGATCAGGAAAATTTATCCGCCTGAATTCTTCCATTGCAAGTCTGAAATAAGAGAATATGTATAATTACACAAAATGTTATACAGTTTCAACAGTAATTCTAACAAAACTAGAAACATATGGAAACATGATATATTCATAAGCATAAGAATTCAATACAACATAGACAATCTGCATAAAATACATATTTATAATAGAAGTAACCTAGTCTTCTACACTGTGCAATAATATTTTAACACCTTTAATCTACCAAGATTCTACTGAGGCATTATAAAAAAGCAAGATTTTTGACATTACAGACCAAACTACCTGGGTCTTAACAATGCTAGTACCTGGAAATGTCATTAACTTCAAGAAAACTAGATGTTACATAAGTTTATATTTCAATTTATATAATTTGAATCTTTATTGTTATACAAAACAATGTACATAACCTCAAATCAAAATATCTCTTATGACAAATAAACATAGTTTATATAAAGCCCATGCAATGGATCCACACCTGTAAATGAATTAATATATACACATAACACGTCAATCCTATCTTTGTTGTAATAATTACTATACATTTAGTATTTACTACCTTAAGATCACCTGGTATAGTAGAAACATGTCAAAACAGAAAAAATTCATGAAAGTCTGACTGAATAAAGCTGTGCAAACAGTTTATCATTAATAGCTTTATTAAATACACACCAGGATGGAACTGTTCTTATCAGATCACTACAGTTCATACACTAACCAAAGATCCTGATTATATCCTCCAAGTGTGGTTACAAATGCAACAATCAGTGAGGAAAAGGTTAAGCTTGTGACCCTTTCAAGGCACTCTCACAATTCATTCTAACCCACAAGTTCAAAACCACTGGACCAGAGCATGTATTGTTACAAAAACAAAAATTTAGGATTTTGAAACATCAACAATGAAGGCAATATTCTTTAAGCTTCATACATAATGAGAAATCACACACAGTAATACTCTTCAGTCAGAGAAGAGCTGTACAAATCAATACATCCTCAAAGTTAACATGCATCTACAAATAATGCTATAATGGAGGCAGCAGTCATTAATTCAAAATCACAATGAGAAAGGACCTGCTTGCAATGTACTTTTACATGTAGCAACACCTGGCAACCACATTACGTTTGGTCCCTAAAGTTTTGGCTAGCTCCTAAAATTGTAATGAATTTTACCAACACTGACAATGTTGACAATAACAAACTGTAATCAACATCTGCCTGTAAGTATATAAGCAATGCATTGATTCTACCAAATTGTATAAATACAAAACATAACATTTAGCCTCCTACTTATTAACAACAACATAGAAATTAATGTGAGAAAATTAACATCATAGTATTCTGAGTTATCAGAGTAGCAAAAGGTCTGTATTACATGCAAGTCATTAAAAGTTTTAATATTGTTCAAACTGACCTAAACAAGACAGACAACAGGTAAAGGCCAAGAAGAAATTCATTTTTGCTGCTAGCTAAACAAATATCCATGGATGTCCAAAGTCTTTGAAGGCAGAAAAGTTCAATATTTGTTGGATTCAAATGTATTGCTATTATAGCACACACATTTTTCACACGCAACAAATCTTCAAAACATCGTAAAAACTGATTTAGTTCTTAGATTTGTGGGTAAAATAATTAAAAAATAACAGTGTGCTGAAATATGTACAATTAAAATCCTACCTGTTACCAAAACCTGAAAACTGCAGATCAGAGTAAATTATTGTAAAACCATTTTGAAACTAACGTTAACATAATTATTATTGTTTATCCCATAAAAAATCATACAAAGTTTACCTGTACATATCATATGCAAAATATAATGGGGCTATACACACCTCAAAAGCCTCTTTGGAAATGGTGAAGGTTTAAATTCCACATCATAATGAATTGCAATTTTGTTCCGAAGCTTTGACAAGTCCAATGACAAATAGTTGGTTTCTACTGCAGTTTTTCTTCCTTTAGTCCCACAACCTGTCCTATTTGGGATTTTTAATGTCTGAATTCCTTTAGTTATAGCTGCAACATCAGCATCTCCAGTCTGTTGCCTTACAGTGCCTGCAAGTTCATCAATGAACAACAAAATATATTTAAAATTTATAAATATTCTTTATTCAAGAATATAAAACTGAGATCAGTTCAACACAAGGATGGAGTTCCAGGCAGAACTCATAAAGTTTACTTTAGTAATTTACAGAATTTAATAAAGATCAGTCTGTGGTTCTGTCAGCATTATGAAAGAAAAAGACTCTAATGTTACGTTTGTCAAATATAACCTTGAAGATTAATATTATCACTACATTTGCACTTGTTGATATGCAAACATTTTGCACAAATTTGTAGGTACTTTCAAACTAATACTATTATTCCTAGTCCCAATGCTTCAGCTGCTATCATTGCCAAACTGAAAGCCAAAATAAAATGTTCACATACTCACTACATTGTTTTACATTCTATACAGAATATCCATAGATCTATTTCAGGAATCTCCAAAAAGTGATATTAGTGTTGCTCCTACCACATAACGTTTTGTTTATGCCCTAATGTTGTTACTGATTACATAAAAATAAAATTACAAGGTGGTAGTTATCTCAAACAGCATAACATTAAGACCAAAATTCATTAAAAGAGATAAAGTGGTTCAAAACACAAAACTAATGACAAACAGGTACACACACACACGGACAACATGGTAATCTAGTGAGTCTAATTTTGTATTAATTAAGGAATGAAAATAGGCCACAAATCAAACCATTGTGTGACTTATTATTTGAGCTGAAAAAGTACAGTTAAGTTAAAAATTATTTTAAAATTAAATTTCCACCACAAAACTTTAATTTTAAACTTATCAATCAAACACCATCCTGAGCACAATATCAGAATTTTTTTAATGAAAATAAAAATGTACATATGGATACAACGTAAAATATACTTCAGGCCACCCACATTTTTGGACTTTGTAATATGAAGTGTCTTAGAGTGTGGGTAAACAATTATTTTTACTCACATTCCAGAGGCAGAAGAGCCTCACTAGAAAAATTCTGCAGTCTAATAATGGTTAAATACTTATTAATTATCTGCATTGATAGAACATACAATATGCAAGAATTAGGCCATGACCACTTCTTTCCACATCCTTTCCAACTCATTATTTACCATCATCCTCTCATTTGATGCTATATAGTCTGATTGTGAGCAACTGAAAAAGTGTTGTTAAATAAACTGTAAATAATAAATAAACTCAGCTGTATCATCAAATACTGCACAATCTTTGACAAATTGAGGGCCATCATAGAAGAAGAAAATTGAGAATGTTATGAACATATGACAAATATCTGAGATAATAAAAATTACGAAAAAAATGTTTAAATTTCAGTAACAATTTGTGAAGTGCTTTTGTATAAAATATGAAAGGCAGAACACAGAAAGACGTGATGGGTTGATCTAGGAGTAAAAGTGTCTATACTAGCTAAAACTTATGGCAGTTGATATTCCAATTTGTAATTAATCTACAGCCTGTATAGTGTTGACAAGAATTCTTCTGCAGCATTAAGATAATATTCAATAAAAAATGCAGACAAACATTACATATTCACAAGGCATTCTACATCAGCCAAATACTATAATGTATAATGTATAAACCCAAGACCTTGTTTCAAGTACCTGCTCGGGGGTTTCCTTGTCCTCTTCCTCTGCCAGCATCGTAAGTAGGAGGATTCAATGGCTGTTGATTCTGAGGTTGTGAACAATTTTGAGGACCTTGATCCCTTTGTCCCTGTGATTGCTGTGATGGTCCAGCTATGCAACCACTTGACAACACTGGGGGTGCCTCGTGTTGCTTTTGATGCTCATGTTGTGATGATCCCACTCGCTGCCTAATAGTTTTCATCTGAGGCTGACCTTCTGCTGCCTGCTCCTCTCTCTGTCCACTAGATTTCTTCCCTAAATAAAAATTTTATATTAAAATAAGATTTTGCTTGATTAAATCCATGGAACACAGTCCTGCTTGTGAAGTTTATGTCACTCAACCTATCAAGGAATTCAATGCCATTTATGGAACCTCAAGGTTATGTTCACATCAGCCTGTACTAGTCCATGCCCTGAGTTTAATAATTCAGGAAAAAGTAAAACAATTAGAAATCTTTATGCTACAACAATGGTTGCCAGGATGCCAATGGCAAAATTATACACCATGTTACTTATAAATATATCTCTTAAATAACAAAAAAAGTTTAAAGAAGTAGATGTTAAAACTGTCTGAACTAATAAAGATTAAAATAGCTTGATGCATATAGACAGACAGGCAGACAAGCATGATTCTAATAGGTGCTCCATTGGATTGCATGATCCTGAAAAGTTAATGTCTCCTTCCAAAATTTCTGGGCTAGCTCCTAATCCAAACAAACATTTTCACGACCTACAATAACACCTTCCTTCCACTACTCTGATAATTCTTCCTTTTTCAGAATAAAACTAATAAGTCTGCAGATCTGAAAACATTACTAACTGTAGCTGTAACTACTGCAAGAATCAACTGTGCCAGAATCTGATCAGTACATGGTGAGTTAAGCCTTTTAAACTTTTAAATAAAAATCTCAACCTCTCACAAACTATTCCTAAGTTATAACTCAGCTGTATGCATCTCACTTTGCCTAGCATCATTAATTTCATGCACATTCTCTAAAATATTTGAAAAAGTTATGTATAAGAGAGTAAGTGATTTCTTAAACTCAAACAACATCCTTGCAGGTGAAAATTTGGATTTTGAAAAAAAATATCTTAACTGATAAAGTCCTGTTCAACATACAGATGAAATCTTAAGTGCACTAAATAATAAAGTGCATGTTGGTGGAATATCTTGTCATCTTCCTAAAGCATTCAATTGTGTATATAATGAATTATTATTATCAAAAACTAAATTTTTACAGAATTAAAAATATAGCTGGTCAGTGGTTTAAATCACACCTTCATGACAGAAAGCAACAAGTAGAAATAAAATCATCAGATTCAAATGATAGATGATGGTGTCAAACATGGAATGCCTCAAAGTTCAATACTTGGTCCTCTGCTTTTTCTTGTATATATAAATGATCTGCCCCAACCATCAACTCTCAATCTAAACCTATACTCTTTGCTGATGATAGTAATATTATTATTTCACATCCAGAAATTGACTGTTTTCAAAATTACATAAATGATGTCTTTGCTAGATTAAACAAATGAATTGAAGCCAGTAAACTCATATTAAATTATGACAAAACAAATTTCATGAAATGTTGTACTAACAGCAGAACTTGTGTAAATCTAAATATATGGTATTATAAGTAGATAAAATAATGGAGGAAATAGAAACAACTAAATTTCTTGGCCTACAAATTGACAACAAATTAAACTGGAAAACACATATTCAATACATCATCCTTAAACTAAGCTCAGTATGTTTTGGTTTAAGGGTAGTTGCAGCACTCATGAAAACAGAAACTTTAAAATTAGTTTATTTTAACCTAAAATCTGAAGTAACAGTCCACCTCATAGGGCCATATCTCAGAAATGGTCTCCTTCACTATTGCAACGGTAGACAGTGTAATTAAACTAAATATAAACAAGAACAGAAACTGTTTTCTACCCACTAATAGATAGGCTGTAACAAAATATACAGCTACTTGTGAAAGTTCTCAAAAAGTAAAAGGTCATAGAAAACTGGGTCTCCTTAATATTATATCAAACAAGACACAAAGTGGAAATAGCTTACCTTTCTTCTTCACCATGTCAGAACCAGAATATCTATAAAAAATATAAAATAAATTTACAATATAAACATTTATTTATTAACTTTAAACTTGTTTCAAACCGTAATATTAAGTGCCAAGAATGAAAAGATCTCTCAATAACATGGCTTTTAGATTTAACATTTTTCACACTTCTCTGAGCAAATTTTACATTGCTAAAAAATAAATATATTGACATGGAAACCTTTTAACAATATTAATAAAATACCACTTAACCAGGAAGTGAGTACAGACTGATAGATATTTGATACTCTCACCACAAAGATGTCAACTGTACCCTTCAAGTGTAATGACAGCACCACAACCCAGAAAACAACATGCAATCCATTCACAATCAAATGTGACTAAGTCCTTACCACCCCACCTCTATATTTTGAGTTTCTGGTTCAAATTTTTACCAGGTTAACTGTTATGACATCTTTTGTGGGTTTCCTCAGGCAGCAAATGGTAGGTTCTTCTTCTTCTTCTTATAGCGTTATAACCCTGTGTGGGTCTTAGCTTGTTTGATGAATTTTTTCCATTCTGTCCTATCATTCACAATTCTTCTCCATCCCCTTACTCCCATCGTCCTCACATCCTCCTCCACGTCGTCTATCCATCGTTTCCGTGGTCTCCCTCTCATCCTTCTTCCCATCGGTCTCCATTCCATCAATCTTCTAGTCACCCTGTTTCCTTCCATTCTTGCAACATGGCCAAGCCAGGCTAACCTTTTGCTTTTGATTAGCCTCACGATATCTGCTCCCTGTATGATACAATCTAGTTCATGATTCATCCTAATTCTCCAGGAGCCATCACTATTCCGTATTGGACCATAGATTTTCCGCAATATTTTGCGTTCAAATATTCTAAGTTGTTGCTCATCAAAGCTAGTTAATGTCCAGGCTTCACATCCATATGTGACTACTGGTCTTATCAGAACTTTATAGATTCTCAGTTTAAGTCCCCTCCCCAGTATTTTAGACTTCATTAAATTCTGATAGGCATAGTAACACCTATTACCATTCACAATACGTGCTTTAATTTCATTAGTTACTGAATTTATAGTATTAATCTGTGAACCCAGGTAATTAAAATTCTGCACATGTTCAAAATTATAATGCCCTATTCTCAATTTATTTGTGACATTTCTTGCTGCTCTTGTAACTTTCATATATTTTGTTTTCGATTCATTTATTTTTAGCCCCCTTAATTCTGTTTCTTCTATCAATTTTAATACTGTTTCTTCCAGTGCAGCTTTATTCCTGCTAATAATAGCTAGATCATCTGCATATGCACTCACGTGTATTGATTTGATGCCTATATGTCCTGAGATCTCAAGTTTCCGAATAGCTGAAGATGAAGTGTTGAAGTGAATATTATGCTCACGAAACACATGTGGGGAACCAGCTACATGCGTACTGAGAAACATCATGACATTTCTGTTCTCTAGGTATAAGTGTGGTAATTAGTACATCATGAGGTTTGTGGTGACCTGTACTTAACAACATGGTTGGAGGAAACAGGTACAGAATTTTTATGGAGAAGTATCTTGGACAGCAACATTAAGCCTGTGATGGAGGCAAGAGATTGATATCAAAATTGGTTTTGGGGGAAGTAGGTTTTTGTGTGGTTTGTAATATCCAGAGTGTGCTGAATTGCATAGTTAACACTTCTGTCTGACTTGCATTTTACTGTGATTGTGTAACAGAGCAGAGCGATGCAGACGTGGAAGACAATGTGGAACAAGATATGGGATCCAAGGTGCTTGGTGTCGATATGGGGGAATCAGGATACAGCTCTGAGAAAGCTGGCAATGAGGACTCTGCAGTTGAAAGTCCAGTGCCTCATCTTTCCAATGGAGACTCTGCCCTGGCCAGTCCTACTTCCTCAGCAGACGTGGGTGGGTCCATGTCACCACTGCGTAACAGAGCAGTGACGGAGATGAACAAAGAGCTGGTGGTCGCAATCCCTGTCTCTACTTTAGAATCTGTGGGCAGCCCACTGTCTCCCAGTTCAGTCTCTTCTGAAGTGAACTTAGATTGCTCCAGCTCGATTTCAACACGTGCTCACACGGATTGTATGTCTCCTGACTTGAACAGGCCAGTTTCTCGCTTTGAATTTCATAATGATGATTATGCGGATAGTGGGGAGGGAGTGGCAAGGCTGAGTCCTGTCGAGGATGACTCTGGTTGTGTGAAGAATCTTTTAGTTTCAGACTTGTGTGATGATATTTCTCGTTTGTGCACCAATTTTGTTCAGACAACTGAGCCAAACATGAATGGCCATGAGGAGAAGCAACTTGTTTATGGAGGAGATGCTGAAGAAGTTGAGTTAAAGTTGGATAACACTGGTAAAGGAGACATGACTAGCAAGGTACTATCATCGGGTAGTACTGAGACTAGTGTGGTGCAGTTAAATGAGAAGATGACCAGTGAAGTGCTGTCAACTGCACAGGCACCCTGCGAGACGCAGTCAAATAGGGAAGTAGCTGATGAGGTGTGCTCAAGTGGGGTGACGGCCAGTGAAGTGCGGTCAACTGGCGGGGTAGCTAGCTGGAGTGCAACATTGTTACCAAGGTACCAATGTGATGATGGAGAGTGCTCTATCCAGTCGTGTCTGAACCAGTTCACTGCGCTTGAGCTTATGACTGGAAACAACAAGGTTGGCTGTGAGAAGTGCACCCAGTGCCATAATCAGGGTAATTTAAAGCATTAAATATGTCTGAATCTGATATAAATTTGTTGTGTGAGAAAACAGCCTGCTAGGGTCAATGTTTTTACATTGTCAGACAGGATCTGTCATCTGTCATTGTTACTTTAATTTGCACAGGTAAGGAAGGCAAGATGGTGTGCACAAACTCCACAAAGCAGCTTTTGGTTAAAAGCCCCCCTGCAGTGCTGATCCTGCACCTCAAGAGGTTCCAAGTGCATCGCACCATGTTTCGCAAGATGTCACGCCATGTCAGCTTTCCTCTAGTGCTTGACCTGGCACCTATCTGTTCTACTATGTACAAGGTGCGTTTTACGCTGTGCAGTGCAGAACAGATTTTTGTGGGCTGCTTCAAAGTGATTGTCATCTTGTGACACCAAACATCATGGCTGAATGTTCAGCACTCCTATATATGTGGGAGATCTTGGGTTCAAATATCAGCGTGGTGACCAAATATCCTGACACGGTTCTTGTGGTTTTCCCTATTCTCTTGAGGCAGATGCTGGGATACCTTATATTAAGTAATGACAGCTTCCTCCCACATCCTTTTCAGTTCATTGTCATCAAATCATTTAACACTATTTAAAAGAGTTATTGGTATTGGTTGTCATTAAATAAGCCATAAATAAATTACAAATAATTGCGACCAACCCCCAACCTGGAGGACCAGGGTACCCGTCTTAGTCTGACCTCTCCCCCTCGACCAATCTGGCTAGGGAGGCCCTACCAGTAGCAATGCTACCGCCAGCATAGCTCTTGGGGTCACTGAGGTACTCAAGCCCCACCACCACGACAAGGTGCAGGTACCATTAAGTGGGGCAAATGGTAGGTTAGTCATACATAAATCTTCTACAAATTGGAAATATTAGTAAGATGTAAAATATAATTTAACTACTATCTTCATACAAGCGAGTAGGGAATTAGAGAATTATAAGTTAGACTTAGTGGCAGTGCAGGAAGTGCAATGAGACAGGGAGGGCATGATCCCTGTGGACGAACAAAGCAAAATTTCGACACAGAAAGATTTGATTAAAAAATTAAGTGAGGGAGAGGCAAAGGAACAATATCAAGTTGAAATTTCGAATAGGTTTCAAATTTTAGAGACGGATGAAGATATGGAAAGTGGTGACATCAACAGAGAGTGGGAAAATGTCAGAAACTGCATTAAAATTTCAGCCAAAGAGAAACTAGGATACTACAGGAGAAAGCAAAATAAACCGTGGTTTGATGAAGAATGTACCAAATTAATAGATTGACGGAAGCAAACAAAATTTCAATGGT